GCCTTGTGCACACGGTCCTGCTGGCTCACGGCACACCTGGAGCTCAGCAAGGAAGCAGATGGAATTCAGCAGAGCAACTATACAAAAGGGAATCGGGAGTTGGGGTGACCACTGATGACTTGGTGAGCCATTTACAAGGCATATGTATCTTTAAAAAAAAAAAAATCAAATCACTGTGAATATTCAGGCACCATTTGTTCCTGCAAATAAATAAGTCCCTAAAGAACTGCATTTGATCTAGCATTAAACACGTCAGTGCTTCCCCCAGCACAGCTTTTCCAGCTATTTGCTATGCCTCCCTTCTTATTGCTATGATAATGTGGCTGTGGAAATAAAACTACTGTACATCCAAAAAAATAGAGCACCTTTAACATTAAAGTATATGTCTGATTATTTGTCTCCACGTTTATTTTACAATACTAAAGCCCAGCTTCGGTACACTGCTCCAGCACCTCTGCAGGTCACCTGAATCAGCAAGTGACATTCACACTCATCCCCTGGAGTGGGGCGAGCCAGATGCCACTCCAGCAGTGTCCTGCCAACCAGGTCTACATTCGCTTTCACCCAGGAGTGACAGTCCTCTTCCCACCATGCTGCTCTGTGCCCTCCTGACCTGCTGGGGCGATGGTCTGACAAAGAATGGAATAGCAAAAACTTCTACAGTGTGGACAGCACACGGGAAGGTGGCACGCAACAAGGGAGGGGCTGCAGGTGGTCCCCAATAGTCCCCGAGGAGGTTCGGAGGGGTGGGGGCTAAGACTTCTTATCCACGGTGTTGAAGAACCACTCTGTGAACCTGCGCAGCTGGGCCGCAGCCGTCTGCGACTCTTCCTGCAGCCGTCGGTTGTCCTGCCGTAGATGCTGCACCTCCGCCTGCAGGACAGCCTTGTCCTGCTTCTCCTGCAACCAGCAGAAAGGGAAATGAGTCATGCACTGACTAGCCTGCTGGCTGCTGCTGGGGGTAAGCAGGGTCACTCATTCTCACTGGACTTAATGGATTTTCTGAGAGGGGACCTACCTGCTCCAGAGTCCTGCCAAGGACACAGGGAGGTGGACAATCCCACAGCCCCTTGGCTCCTCCCAGGGTGCTCCTCAGGAACACTGACAGCTGCTCTCCAGGAAGTTATTCACCAGTGTACAATGCTTTGAACACTTATCCTTGCTTTGTACACAGCTTGCTTTGAAAGTACCTTGCTTTGAACACACTTATCCCATTGCTCTTGCCACTTTCTAAAGTTGTTTTGGAAGTTTTCTCTCCTGGGTGACTTTATAAAGTATGATAAAAAATGTAGTGAATCCTGCTGCTGAGTGCCATCCAATGAAAAGACAGGTTCATAAAAACATTGTGGTGCACCCTTGTCCACTGGATCTGGAACCGTGCAACTTCTAGCTCTTCCTCAAAGTCAAAAAACCCATGAAAGGTTTGAATTGATTCAGGACACTGAAACAGCCACGACAGCACAACTAAAGCCTCTGAAGGACTTCCAGAACTGCTTCAGAAAGTGGCAAAACAATGGGATTAATTAATGGCAACATGTCTTTTACTGTAATAAAATTTTAAAAATTTAAATGCATAAATTTAAATGTGGTTTTTGATCACATTTTGTATACCACCCTCACCCAGAAGCGGGGAGACAGTAGTCAGATGCAGGGTGAAACCCCTTGACCCTTGGTGGACTTTCCCAGAGTTCTCATGTGGAACTGGAGCCAACCCAGCTGCTGGTGCGGTTACCATGGGACCAGCACTCAGGCCTCTGTCCATGGCTTCCACCTGTACTGCACTTCTACAGTGCAAAACTATGTGAATATAACTGAGATCCTCAGAACCATCCCATCAGCAATTTTCAATGTGCAACAGTGAGACCTGGCTCTCCACCTCTGGTCTGGCATCCTTCCTCCCATGCTCCAGTCCTGGCCCTCCCCTGGGGATGTCTGGGCAGCTCAGTCCCCAAACCTTGGCTGGAAGGTTGGGCGGCAGCCAGACTCAATCAGATGACTGCTCCTTGCTGAGATCCCAGATCCTCTGAGAACCTCTCCTCAGGTAGTGAGATCCACCACCTTCCTCATGCCTGCATATGTGGTGCCCAGTTCCTCCAAACCTTAACAGAAAACTCAAGAGCCTGCCCTGCCCTTCTTTGCTGCAGGCTTGGAATCCACTCAGATGTTCTACTGACACTCCAGCCCTCAGTGTCATCATGATCTTGACCCCAGCCCTCCCAACACCCATCCACCATGGCGAACCTCACATTTTACCACCTTGGATACTGTAACTCTTCCTAACATGGCTTCAAACTCTCACCTCAGGAGCCACCTCCTGTCCACCTCCTGCCACCTCCTGTCCTTAAAAGATCATTTCCAATGTCATCTAACCCAATAGTCCTACCTTTGTCTTCCACATCTGCCCCCTGCAGCGATATTATTTCTCCTCAACCAGCTCTGAGTTCCTCAGTTTAATCCCACCTGTACACACCGGTCTTCTCTCTTTCTCTGTCTTGGTTTCTTGTCTAAACCCTAATACTGGATAAACTCAGATCTCCCACTTATTCCACACCTGCAGTTGGGGCTAAGGTGATCAGCTACTCCAGCTTGCCTGGGTCTGTGCTGGTTCCATTTCTTGGAAGTCCCGTATCTTGAAAGATTTTTCCACCCTAGTCACGCTGGGACAATTAGTCACCCGAGGTACAGAAAAGCACACCATCTGCCAAAAGACACTACTTTAACCCTGACTACAATTCGACTTTGCCTTTAGCCTTGCTGGGCAATTCTACCAATACACCTGACAATTTGCTCCCTACCCGAGACCTCATCCTCAAACCTCTCAGACTCCTTCCCAATGCTCATGGTCAGCTCGTGACTGAAAAAAAGAATGCCACCAGAGGAGATCTTTACCAACTTACCCCCTGTCTACTGTGAGTGTGAATGCACAAGTGCCTGTGCGCACACACACACACTCTGCTCTAACTCAAGAAACCACCCAGACACCCAGCCAAGGCCTTGCCCTCTTGGTGCTCTAATCAGGACTTGACTCCCTCACCATTCTCTTCACACTTGATCAGCTCCATCAATAGGGCACCAGCTGTAATCTCTCTGGCAAAATTATATCATACCACCAAAGTAGCAGTCTCCCAAGAGACTCTCTATTTCCTTTCCTGGGATGGCAAAGGGGCCAGTGACAGGGCACACCATGTAGTGAGAGACTGCTGGGAGCTGTGGAAGGAGGATCTCACTCCCCGTGAGGACCGGTGGTGCACGGATACATCCTAGAGCAGTTCTAGGGTGAAGGCCAACTTGGTGAGTGGAGGGAATTGACTAGGACAGACCAGGCTTTTTGGTGGCAGTTCAGTCTTCTGAGGTCAGCTCACCATATGGTTGGGGCAACTGTCAACTTGGGGAACTGAAAAATGGCAGCCTGTTGTATTCGGCCCCACCCTGAGTTCTGCCCATATAGAGCTATGGCCATCAGAAACCCTGTGCCTCAGGATGAGAGATACCAGCTATAGGTAAGAAGAGAGGTTAGACTGCAGGATTCTCCTTTCTATTCATTGTTGGCTTTTGCTTAGGTCAGTTATCTTCTCTGGGTCTCCTCAATTTGTAACAGTTAAAAGGGACTGATCATGCATGAGAAAGGGTTTGACTATGTCTTTACCTTTCGAAGGTCGGTCTGCAGCTGTCGGAGGATCAGCTCCAGCTGGTTGACTTTCCCAGTCAGTGTGGACGGAGTGCGCTCCCTAGCAAACAAGGTGGAATCAGACTTGCACAGCTCAGTACTAAGGAGAATATGCAAGTTCATGATCATTCAATTTACAGAGAATCTGGAATTGGGAAGGAGTGACACTTGTGGGGGACACATGTATCGTGAATATATGGTGTGTGCGCACAGGGTGGGACACCAGTCAAGGACCAGGTTCTAGGAAATTGTGCTCTAAGCAGATGAGCACAGCATGGCTGGCCTGGCAGGTGAAGGCTGGGGTGTCACTGTCTGGTGCTACCACACTCATCAGGCACAGACACTCACCTCGAGGGGCCCCTACCCTGCTGTGTCAATGTGGCCATGGGATCATCACCTGCTTTGGCAGACAGGACAGCGGAGTGGTTATGCAACACAGTGCTACCTCTCTAGCATGGCAGGATGCTGCGTCAGTCCCGCCTGGTTCCTTCTCTGGGGAAGCCACAGTGGAATACAGTCTCCTGCCTAGCTCAGGACTAGCTGAATCCTTGTCAACTACTAGCAGGGACAGAGGGAGGGAGGGGTCCACATACCCAGCAGCATCCATGAACTCTTTGCCACTGCCTGGATCTACACACAAGGGCAGCTCTGGGGCCCCTTCCAAGTCCTGCCTGTGCTGCAGATCCGTCAGGGTGCAGAAGGATGCCACTCTCTGGTCTGGGGGACAGGGGCATGGAAAGAAGGGTTAATAACAGCCATGGGGGAATGTTTCTTTGTTGAGAGAAATTCAGTAGCTAAATGAAGTTTCCCCCTCCAAATCAGTTATTTCCCTGTTTTAAAACAAAACAAAGAAAAAGAAACTCAGGCAAGCTGCCAACAAGAAGAAAGCATGAAGACTGGCTGTTCTGCTGGGCTGTATGGCACACACACATCACAGCCTGGTGATTAGCTGGCAGATCTGGATTTGCCAGAGCCAATCTGCTTTCTTCCCACGTCTCAAGAAATGCCAAAGCTGCCGGGGATGGCACATGAATAACAGGTTCAATGATGACTCAGCTGATTAACAGAACCAGGGACATGGACCTGTCCGCAAGCTCCCCCAAACCCAGAGGGCATTCCTGAGACAGCACAGCCAGGACCCACATCTGCTGAGGACCCACATCTGCTGAGAACCCCCAGCCCTCAGCGCATGAACAACCATGCAAACGTGCAGACACACGGAGTGTACAGAACAGGCTATGGTATCGGGCCCAGGGCAGCCCTGGACAATCACCTAGATAGGACGCGTGGTGACAGAGCAGACCAAGTTCTTCATCTGAGTCAAGACCTGAAATAAGATTTAAATTTTCCTATGAACATAAACATTTCTCTGTGCTTGAAAAGCTCAGGGGCCCTCATAGGCTCACATAAGCAATCACATGAAGCAGAGCACACATGTATATGTACGTGTGCTCATATGTGTGCAAGAGAAAGACAGGATAAGCCTCAAGAGCCAGTGTGATGTGACGCCAAATGGCGTGGTGAGATCACGTTTCCTGTTTTACCTGTCCTGGCTGGAAGCAGGGGTGCTGTGCACAACCAAAAAAACCCTGCTATGTCACTCCCCCCAGCCCGCCCCCAAGCATACACTGCAATTCTGGGCTGACGTACATGACTCACTACACGTTTAAGTACGGTGGAAGTGAGAGGACTGAGCTGAGCAATCTCCCCACAGCCGCAGAGCAAGGTCTGAGGGCCCGGTGACTGTAGCTGGGGCACTATGACCACCTCAACACAATACCTTCTCACAGCACAGGCCATGCCAAGCCTGGCTCCAGGAACTGGGCATTCCACGTCCGGAGAGTGCAAGCCAGTCAGGAAAGGAGAACAGTCTTCAGAACAGGCTCACTGGCCCCATTCTCAACCTGAACTCTGGCTGGGGGATGGGCCAGCAATGTTGAAGAGCTCACAGGAGAAGTCTTGGCTCTACGCCTTGGGAAAGTAGGTTCAGGAATCCACCCCAGGACCATCCCCTGCCCTGGAGCCCACCCCTGGTCTCCGAGCTCACACCTGTATGTGAATCTACCACAGGACCATCCAGTCCCAGCCCCAGTCTTTGAGATCGCACCTGCATGTACAGTTGGAGCCCAGGGAAGCGGCTTGTGCCAGCGCTGCAGCGGCTCCTCTCACACGGTTTGATTAAGGGGGAGAAGCTGCACTCAGGTCCGTGTCAGGTGCTCTGCTGTTAATTTGTCCTGCTCTGTCTCCCTCTGGCTGCTGGATGAGTCTCCTAATGAGGCTACCTGCATGTTTGGTTTATGGAGGGTCACGCTCTTGCAGCTAATTAGAAAGGATGGTGATGTTGAGGCTGTCAGGTGCACATGAAGGAAAGCAGGCCTTCGGGCTTCAGCACAGTTGCCCTGACAGAGGTGGGCCCTGTGGGAGTCATGCTAAGCCCACTCAGCAACCCAGCACAGGAGGGCTCTCCAGCCCTCCGGTCCTCTTTCTAACACCTGCCATAGGAGGGCACATGCAGCCTTCAACTAACTTTTCTGTAAGGTTCACAAGTGGAATCTTCTACAAGATGATAAATATTCTATACATAGTCCCAAGAGACAACTGTATTACAATTTGGTGCTGAATGGAAGGGCTTTGCATGTGATGAAACAATCTGTAACTTAATTATGAGCAGCACAGTTCTGGTCTACAGCACAGGCTGGGTGAGGAGGTCCGAGGTGCTGCAGCATCTTAACAACCCCACTCTTCCAGGGCCCCAAGTAGGGCATAATGTCAGACTTAAGAAAAAAAGAGAGCCATGTTTTTGTTCCGGAGTGAATTTACCTACTGACAATAAAGGAATGTCAAAAAGTGGAAAAAGAATTAATTTTTCTCACTTTTTCAATGAGTTCTATTGACTCATCCTCATGATCATTTCATTATGTTTCTTTCTTACTATCTTGGCTGGCACTGATGGTCCAGTCTCCACACCTGGATGGAAATGTCTTAGTTTGCTCCCTATCATGCATACCTTGCCACTGGCAGCCAGCTGGTCAGATATTCCTCGGGGAGAAACCAGGTCCTCCTGGTCAGGTGGCCAGAAGCCAGAGCAGACCTGTGCCCCACCAACCGACGGTGCACGTGGGAGCTGACAGCTTAAGGAGGCCGCAGTGCTAACAGAAGCTACCTCACTGAGCAGACATGAAACTGCTTTATAACAAAGCTAATCTTCACGACAGTTTCCAGTGGAAGCTTTTGGTTCTATAACTTATTTCAGTGATGAAAAGTATTCAGTAATCAAGTGTCTACTGACCTGGAACCACACAATACAAACAAGACCTTAAGCTAGAGAGTATGAATTCTGTAGGGTGCCTGCCACAGAGCCAGCACAGGCACCTGACGTGTGCTGCCTGTTTGCTCCTGTCCCTCCAATTTCCAGTTCCTTTAAGAAGGTCTGACCAAAGAGGGACACCAGGCATGTCTTACAAAAGAAACAAGCCACCCCTTTAAATAATCTTAAACCTTATTTCAATGTCATTTTCCTAATTTTGAATGCATTTAACACTAAATAAGAGGAGAAAGAGTCACTGAGCTAGTCTCTACCAATTAGGGCTGGGATGGCAAGACAGCAGACTGTAAACCACTCCCACAAATGCACTGGCTGCCTGCAGCACTGAGCACCACGGGCCAAGCCCGAAAGGGTGGGGTGGGTGGTCTGATCAGCAGTCAAGGCTGCCCAGGGTGAGGGACAGGACAACAGGGCATGTGCCAGGGAATCACTGAGTGGGGCATTCAGGTAGCAGGAAGCTAGGTAAGAGTTAACTTCCACAAAGCTGTTCTAACATAGCTTTGCTAAAACCACAAACTAAAAACAAGCTAGGATTTTATGGCTACATGTAAGAAATTACAGGTTCTTGTTCTGACACCTGTGCTTACTGAGTTGCAGGGAGCTGACTTACCACAAGGAAAGAATAAAAGAAGTCACACTGAGCTTCAGCAAAGTACCGTGGTTTTTTAGGCCAGGGACAGTGAATTTTAGAGCTTTCAATGGTAACAAACAGCCTGCTGTGGCACACGTGCCACAAGTTTGCCACCACTGATTTAGGCTGTTGGCAGCCTACTGGCAAATGCAGAAAGATGATGGCATAGATGAATGAATAAGGCTCTGAACTCTTTGCTTGAGATATATCAGTGGATTAGCCTGAAACAATTTTAAATTATTTTTGAGATAATTTAAGTTGATTTACTATATTAAATTTGACTGCATTTTTCTTCTTTGTGGCAGTCTTTATTTTCACAAACTATGTTACCATTAGAAGCTACCCAGTAAGTCACATTTTGTTTATGCTTGTATATACATAAGCACATCAAATATCAATTAATTTTAAAAACTTTATCAACTTCAAGGTGAAACTTTAGAACTAAAAAAGTTATCACAAAAATTTACGCTCATTATTCTGGAAATCAAGGGCATATGGAACATAAAAATACAGGCTATTTTTTGGAAAATATGTTCCTGTGGCCATCTGATTCTTACAGCAGTGCCTGACATGTATTAACTGCATGTATCTTACTCACAGACATTCACACACCAGTCACCCCATACCCTGCACCCTAACTGCTTTGGGGAGATGTGATGGTTACCACCTAGGGAAAAGTGTGCTGACGTAGTGGAGGATAGGCCTTATCTAGCTGTGACACAGAATGCACTCTCCAACTGCCAGTGTCATTTTACCTTTAAGCCTGTTTGTTCTTAAACACCATACACAACAAATGCTCAAGAACATACCAGCTGCCTCTTTCTGGTACGTATTGTGATGAAAGCTACTTTAACTCCTACTACTTCTTAAAGAGATTCCATTTCCCTTCCCTGCTTCACCGTTTGACCCACAAACAGGGGTCTTTTAGATGGCTTTGCTCCTGTTAGCATACATGAGGGGGAGGGAGATGCCTGTACACACAGTACTACAAGCTAACAGCCAGAGAAGCCCCGAGTAATCTGAACATCTAAGTAAAAAAAAACCCAAAAACCAAAAACCAAAAACACACTGAACACACCTCACCTACTCAGCATCACAGCTTAACAATGCAGTGCACTGTAGAGTGCTGGTTCGTTCCTCTCTGTGATCTCAGGGCTGACGGAGCTGCCCTACATCAGAAGAGAGGATTGTACTGCATTTAAAATTCAAAGTAGGGTTTCTATGGAATGTGTATGGCTTTTGCACCACTGGAAAGATGGAAAATCTTAGTTAAGTTAGGGACTGTCCATACATAACAAAGGTTATGCTACACACTGCAGTGCATGGTGCCTAATGATCCTATTGTATTAGACAGATCAGCAATTTTACTTCAGGGGTCTGATGTGTAAAGAGCACATCTCACCTCCCAGATGGAATAAGTGTGTGAATCAAAGTCTGAAATGTGATTCAGTCAGCTTATCAAAACTAACCATCACAGCAGGGGGGAGCTGGTGGCCTGGGCTGGCAGCATCAGCACCCAAATCACATTCTCTCTCCTGGACTGATGAGACGTCTCCATTTTCTCAACATCTAGGCTTTTTGGGGTGGAATTTGGTTATCTACCTATTTTCTTATTTATTTTTAATAATACTACAAGTTGTTTCTGTATTTCAACCCGCTTTATTCTTTCCAATAATTTCCTATCAGTCAATTCTCAGGAATCAGATTTCTGGTCAGAGGGTAGATATATTTTTCTGGCTCTGGCTACATACTGTCATAGTGCTGGAACAAAAAAATGGATCACTTTATAATCTGTATAATGACCCCAGCTGTGAGTATTCTTCATAGCTTCCCAGACTGCTGTATCATTTGTCCTATTCAAAAGGTGTGAGGTGGTAGCTCATTACCATTTAAATTTACATGTATGGCTGGACATTGTCCCATGCTTATTTACTGTACTCTTTCCTTTTGTGGTCAGCATCCATATGCCTCATTTGCTTTCTGTGGAGTTGGTAAATCCCTTTCCTATTTAACTCTTAAACATATTCAACTTTCTGTATGTGATCTTTATTTTTTCTCAAAAGGACTTATTCTATGTTTAAATCATTATTATGCAGTTTTAATTATTATTGATTTATAATAATTTTTTGCTGAACACTGTTCATCTATTTACCAAATGGGAGCAATTAAGTTCTTTAATATATCTTTAGATAGCTGAATTGAAATTGTACTAATCTACAAATTAATTTCAAGAAAAGGTGATCTTTTTTTTCTATAAAGGTTTCTATCCATTTTTGTCCTTACATATATAAAGTCTTCAGTTCCTCAGGTGTTTCTTGGATTTCTCTCATTATAATTCTAATGACAGCTTCCATTGCAGAGAATACACAGTTCTACCTCGCTGATTTATGAGTTTCCTTCATGGCTGTCACAGGGAAGACTGTTGCTCCCTTTGAGAGGTGGAGCCTGGCGCTGCCCCAGCACCTTGTTGGCCTTGAGGTTTACATGGGCCCAAAGAATGAGGCAGGCATAGTGTCCTGGGCTTCCTAGGGCAGCGCTGTGGCCTTTACTTCCCCGACTTCCTCCACTGCACATGCAATGCAAATACCCTACTGGGGATGGGTCCGGCCATGTCCTTTGTCAGTTAATAGTGGCCAGGAACCTCTGGAACAGAATCCACCATTGTGACATACCCTGAAAAATGCAGCAGCAAAAGACAAAGTCCTAAACGTCACGATGCTGGATCCTGATTTGCACTCTAAAGCAGCAAGGCACCAAGGAGCAGGTTGGAGCGGGTATCTTCCTGTGTCTACATGGTCTTTGGTCACCTGGCTGCTGGCAAAAGGTGTGGCATAGACTACAAACAGTTACTGTATTGACTGTGATAAGAAACAGCACGGTAGCAACAATGACCCTGGGGTGGTGAGACCTGTGTGGGACAAGCAGAGCAGGGCACAGTCCGAACTTTTGGCAGCTTCAACCTCCCAAGGCCCCTCTCATCTCACTGAACCTCACTTGGAAGGAAGACAGTGTTCTATATCACCACCTCTACCTGGCAGATGGGAACAGAGGCAAGGAGGACACATGGCTGGTCCCACCCAGGGCACGGCTGATGTCTGCCTAGAATTCAGGTCTCAGGAGAGACTAAATGACATGGGTCTCCCTTGAGTGCTTCCCAAAGCCCAGGCATCCCCTCGGGTTCATTCTCAAAGATGGGTGAAGCAGCCAACCCACCCAACAGATCCAACCCCCAAGCCACTGCACGGGCCTACAGACAGCGCTTCTAGGGACTGAGGGCTGGAGAGTCATTACCTTCAAACGCCCGGGCAGCATCCACCAGGTGGGACCAGTCCAGGCCCATGGCCGTGTCTGGGAGAGGCATCAGCCCGGGGTCTGCACACTTGGACTTGTCTGATAAGGACCCGTCGGAGAACCAGAACTCATCTAAACAGAAACAACACAGCGTCACAGTCAGTCACAGCAGGGTTACTGTCATCCCTACGGTCAGTCACAGCTGGACACCACTGTCGCAAAGCCAGTCACGAGGTCAGCACCATCAGCACCCTACCTAGTCACAGCCGGAACCCACCCTCCCCACACAGTCACAGCATAGGTACCACTGTCCCCACAATGTCAATCACTCACAGGACAGACACCACTCCACCCAGTACCAATTATTCAGTCACAGCACAGACACCATCACCCCCACAGAGTTGGTCAATCACACTGTGGGCACTGCCAACACCCACTCAGCCAGTCACAGCACAGGGACCACTGTCATATACAGTCAGCCAGTCAGTGAACAGGTAATGCTGTCTCTACTCCTAGCCCATCACAGCATGGGTACTGCTATCTTCACACAGACCGAATGAATCAGTCAATCAAAGCACAGGTACCACTGTCCCTACAGAGTTAGTTAAAGCACAGTTACTGTCATCATCCACAGTCAGTCAGTTACTACCTGGGACCTGCTGTTGTCGTAAAGACTCAGGTAAGTTGGACGACAGGTACTGCCATCCCCTCCCAAAGTGGCTGAGAAAACAAATTTTTGTAAGATATCTACTACTTCCTGGGACAAAAGGACACAGTGAGCTGCAGTCACTCCATGTAACTTCATAGTTGTCCCTTCCTGGGAAGACTACGTTGAACACTGAGTCAGACTGACTGAGGGTAAACTGTGATACCTTCAGGTGACTCCAAGCACAGGGCTGCAGGATCTACACTGCTGCGGAAAGGTTAGCAGCAATCTCTCCCTTTCCTGATGATTCAAAAACTTTAGTGAAGAACAAAAGTGTCTCAGCCCAGTGATACAAATTCCAAATGCCTCGAATGTCAATTTATTACAATAATGCAGTAAGACTACTTCATTTTTTATTAACAGACCAGAAGGAAAGAAGACATCATCTAATACACTACACAGAAAAATGATGGTTAGGGCTGCTTTTTCTGATTGAACAGGACATCACCTCAATGTCTCATGCACTACTGGATGGTTTCCTTTGGCAGTGAACGTAAGTCTCTCCTCTTTTGCTTTCTCTCTAAACTTCCATCATGGTCTTTCAAGTGTTCCTGTCATTAACAATGCGTGTTGTGAAGTGCTACTTTGCATCTGAGGGCAAGTTCTGAAAGGTCCTTGGATGTCTTCAATGTGTCTTCTCTGAGCCTGCCCCAAGTACTGGGTGCAGCTGCTTGCAGGGGCATCAGACTAATGAGACCAATCAAAATGATGACCTCCTCGCTGCGTGAGCCTGCTATTAAGCTAAGTCAAGGACATAATTAACCAAATGCACCTGTAATTTTGGTTCCTGCATTCTTCTGGGAAGTTGTGGAATTCTGGCATCTGGACTGAGATACATAGCATTTGTAAATTTGGCCTTGAAGGACACCAACAGCATTTCTACACTCTTAACAAATGCAGCTTTAGTGCACCTCTCCCCAGGGCAGCAAAACCAATCTAACAGAGCTATTTTTAACCTGTGTTTAGATGCAGTGATGTTCTACCAGCGTATTCCCAGCCTCCATTTTGAGGGGGCCCAGAAGGAGACACTTTGTCAATCTCTCCATCTTTGAAATAACAATGGGTCACCTTAGTCCTACAAGGGATATGTTAGGTCATTGCCAAAGGTGAAGGAGGAGGTGGGTGGCAGAGACCTCAGCATTTGTGGTTCCCCTCTTCTTGAGGACTTCTCTGGACAAGAAGAACGCCCAGGCCAGCCCGTAGCCATGGTGAGGAGAGGCTGGGTGGACCAGCTCTCAGAACCCTTCCATAACCACAGGTTTAAGCTCCACTCTCAAGCAGAGAGGTACAGGAGCCCAGAGACCTTCAGGGGAAAAACCGCTTCCTTTTGTCTCTCTGGTATACTATCCATTGCTTTGCTCAAAGCAAGATTTCTGCACCAAGCACAAAGAAATTCTGCAGCAAGGTGGTAATTACTCTCACTGCCAACTTCCATGGGCTATCACTCATGCCTTGTGATGATGGGGCACAGTACCTGTGCTGCTTCCAGGGTGTGTGGTACTATAGAGAAGCTGGTTCTTTCTAATCTAGCTCCCCCAAGTGCGGAGTTTCCTCAGAAGCACACAAGGCTCTTCTGGCCAATTCATACAAGAAAACACCTATTTGGCTGGATCATGTGCTGGCTTGCTCCCAAGGCCATCCAGGCAAATGAAGACACAGTCTGAGGGCATGTTTGGGGCTCTCTCCCACAGGGAGCATGGTGATGCACGGTAAAAATTAGGCTTCTCAGGGCCTGCCTGACTAGAAACCTGGGCCAGTGTCACCTGTATGACTTTGCCCTTGTGTCAAGGACGAAGATGGCACACTCCAGTGAACAGAAAGTAAGAACAAATGTTGCTTTATACCTGGAAAACTTCCTGGATCTCGATGTGGGGGTGGGGGATAAGAGAGCAGGTGGAGTAAGAGGATACTTCCCCAAAGCACCTCTGAGGTACACATGGGCAGATGTCTGCCTGCTTCACCTGGAGAGGATGACACCGCTTCTCTGTCCTCTCACTGCCACATCACCTGTGGACCTAACTTGGGCCTATGAGGAGGCTCAGGGGCACTGAAGACAGCTGGTGTTGGGGCCCTGCTGTGTGGCAACCTGGTTTGCAGCCCATAACACTGATCTTGGGGCTCTTTGTTCATTTTAAACCTGAAATAACAGTCACCATTTTTATTGAGTCTGACTTTACGGAGGAGCCTTCCTGATAGCATTTTCAGTGGTCAGATATCAGAAATTTCACAATTACTCTACAGAAGCCAGCAGATAGCTATTACAGGCAAGATCAAGAACATGAAGACTGAGAAGGAGGCTCCTTGTCAAACACTACCTGCACAGCTGTTTGAAACTGTGCCGTGCTAGAAAGCTTGACAGGACCAACCTCCATTCGAGTTTTCATGTGAAGTGACACTTAAATCTCCCTGAAAAGCTAAGAGCAGCAAACGCTCCTCACTGTCTGATGCTCAGCACCTCAGAGTGCTGACCTATTCTCAAAGGGCTCTGCTTTCGTACAGAGGGAGAGATGGTGGGGTGACCCGAAACCATGGAATAGACAGAAAAGAAAGTCACAAGGGTGCCTGTGGGGGCCAGGAACCAATGTCCCTATGTGGCCAGAAGTTTGAAGGGGAACAGATATCAATAAAAGTTACTCAAAGCTCCTTATTTACATTTGGTTAGTCCATACACCAAAGCTAGGACATTTTTCAAGTAGAAACTTCTAAAGGATGTAGATTGGAGGAGACCCCGCCAAATAGGAAGGTTGTCAGAGAGCAAAAAACAGCCAAGGTCCTAACTGCTGTTCTTCAAGAAACATGCAGTCAAGACATGCAAGGCAAATTTACTAGCTAAGTGAATAAATGTGTCTTGTCTTTTTCCTAAATGTGTCTTTCATACTTTGAGCATACTAAAAAGGACAGTCCTTTAGTGCATGACAAACTATGCTCTCTCCAGACAATGGAATACTATTCAGCATTAAAAGGAAATGAGGAGGGCCGGGGATTTAGCTCAGTGGTTCCACTACCTGCCTTGCAAGCACAAGGTCCTGAGTTCAATCCCCGGTACCAAAAGAAAAAAACAAAAAGAAATGAGCTTTGAAAAGACAGAGGAGGAGAAGGTGAGCCGGTCCCAGCACCCGGAAGGAAGCTCCCCACCTCCATCCCAGGCTCCTAGGGCAGAGAAGCTGAGCCAGACCCAGAACCTGGAAGGAAGCTCCCCCGCTGCCATCCCAAGCTCCTAGGGCAGAGGAGGTGAGTCGCACAGGGGCCAGAAGCACCTCCACCCCCCGTGGAAATGAGAAAACACATAAACAAGCCTCAAAAAAAGAGTTTCAGATCAGCTACAGCAACCCCAAAAGGAAAGGAGATGGAACAATCTGATACTCAACCACCTGGACTCTCTGAACTGGCAACAAAAGAGGATCTGGGAAAAATGAAATCAGAAA